TATATATATATATATATATATATATTTGACATGTGAAACTTGAAAGACTTACACTTTGTTTATAAGTAGAATATTCTATATCATCATTTTGAATTTAAAATTATCATTACACAATTCAGATGGAATAATAACTGTTTGGCATCAGGTCTTTTATTGCAACACAACCATCCACATAACCTAGGGTTGCTGAAGACTCCACTGGAAGCTCAGTTCAAGCTTCAGGTAAAGATTGTGAACAGCACTGAAGCAAAAATATGCTAATTAAAAGAGGTGGAGGCTCTGTGTGTGATGAAAGTATAAAACGTGCCCCAAGTTAAGAGCATTAAGAAGCACCCCATCTCTATCATGATAAGTATAAAGTAAAGAATAAAGGAAGATTAAGGGATCAGTCTTCATTTTCAAAAACTCATTGCCTTGAGAGCAGTTATTAGGACTTGGGAATCCAAAGGAAATATATTCTACATTACTGCATATGATATAACATGGAAAAAATTTCAAATGGCCAAAAACATATTGGACATGCATTGTTAATTAGAGTTATATACAAGCAAGACAAAGTTCTAGGGACCACAGTCACTGATTTTATGAGGTCTAAAAAGGCTTAGAAAAGAGTTTTCAATGACAGGTTAAAAGAAGCCAAAGATAAGAAAGAGAAGGGGGGCTTGCCATCTACAGAGATTAGGTGTCAAGAATTAGTTACCATGTTTGGAATGCTGCACACATTTGTTTGGCTAAAAGATATAAAATGTCTCATAGAAGACATTCACAACACAACAATAAGAAAAAAGTAAGGAGGTCTGAGTGGAAGCTACATTCCTGTAGGGACATGAATTTTGGAATTGAAGAAACAAAAACAGGGCCTAGCACTCCACAAAAATATGTTCAATGGAAAGACTCATGATTAAATGGGTGGAGGAAAGAAACTAACATTGGTGAACTGCCTGCCACATGACATGTACTGTGCTGGATACATTCACCTGCATTACCTGATTTTATTTTTCAATTCTAAAATTCAGGGATTATTCCATTGCTGCAGATGAGGAAATTGAAGAATAAGGAGGACAGACCCAAGACCAAAGACGGAGAAACTGAGAAAACAAGGATGTAAGTAAAGAGTTAACTAATATCTTGTTCTTTTTTTATATTAACACTTTAACTATATCTTTAAATTCTAATTAAAAGAAAAGGTTTCTGGTGGAGATGAAGGCAGCACAGTAGGTGAACATGCCCTTCTGAAGAACTTACTGAAGAGCTGAATGGGCCTCCCCATTCCACTGTTTTCTATTCTCTGCCATCTGTAGATTGACTTGCTGTTCTCCATGGGCTGTGACCACCACTGGCCTTTTGCATGTTTATTTGCTTAGGAGAAGTCATTGTCTTGTGGTCACTGACCTAGCTCATTTGCAAATATTACAGAGAGTCTTTGAGGCATCTTCTTTAGGGTGGTCAGCCAGCAAGGCCAACTGTATCATGTGTTATTTATCAAAACAAAATTATATGGCTAGCAAAAAACAGCACACAAATTATAGAGAGATGCTTATATCTTTAGGCCAATACCCACAGTGCACTGTTTCCCTTCTTCAAAACAGGTATTTATTCATATCACATTATGCTGTGAAATAAAAAAAAGAATCTGGAATTTATAAACTAATTGACTGGAAATAATTATAGACAATGAAGTAATGATGCCTATTTGTTTATGCTTTTCCATATGTAACCTGACCTACATGTTTAAAAATGTAAACTTATTTTAGCATTTATTTGTAATTATACCATTATTTATGTTTCTGTCAAGTGATTTTTTTAGTGTAGTGTACTTTTTCTTTTTTGTTAAAATTATTGACAAAGTAATTCTTACATGAAGACAAAAGACAGAGTACATATATATCAAGTGTCCTGTTTGCTTGTCTGTGACATTTTTAAAGTATCATTACTCTACATGCGTGCCATAATACATTAATCATTCAGCATTAAATATATATTGACCGTAGATCTGTCACATGATGGCAGATTTTGTAAATCCATTCATGCCCATTTCCTTATCATAGTGTGACCTCATGAAAAAAGACTAACAGAAGATTTTTAGGCAAGCACCATTTCCAAGAACACCAATGTTTATTGCCACCAAACAGGTACAGTATAAACAATGGCAACAAATATACTAATCTTCCATGTACACTCAAACCACTTGGAATGGGTCTGTACAATAGAAATTTCATCATTTTGTTCTGAAAAAATGAACTAGCAAACAAATGACTTGAGGAATCATTCCTAGAGACAGAACACTGTTCCTCTTTGTTCATTATCTCCAAATACAATTATTCTTGTGCCATGTATTCCACTTCCATTGTACAAAATTGAATTGAAACAATCCCTGCCCTCAAAGAGTTTATAGATTGGTGAAAGAGAAAGATAATAGACAATTTTAATACAATATATTGTGCAATATAAAGTAGTTATGCAGAGCCAAGTGGTAAAAGTGCATCCCTTTCTCCAAATATCCCATTTTGCTTCCACTGATTCATATGGTGGCTAAAGAAATTCTGACTAGATAAAGCAACTTGAGCTGCATTTACAATTGGTGTTTAGTCTTTTTTTTTTCAGGATTAAAGTATGATTTATTTATTTTTTATTTTTGGGGGGGGCAGTTTTGGTTAATTTTTTTTTATTGTTGGTTATTCAAAACATTACATAGTTCTTGATATATCATATTTCACAGTTTGATTCAAGTGGGTTATGAACTCCCATGATGTTTAGTCTTATCTGAATGTTGAGGGGAAGCCAAAATCTTGAGTAGGTATTAAAATATCCCCAGAGGAAGGAATGTATCATATGGACAAGTATTTGGAAGAGTGAGCAGATTCCACTGGTAAGAGTATCAGTGGGGAGGAATGGCTTAAAGTAAAACATTGTGCATGCTACCATTCAGACTCGGCAAATGTAGTGGTATGTGTGTGCCTTAGACAAAGGAGGATCCTTGATCAAGTGAAATAAGTTCATAGGCTATGCAGCAAGTCAGAGCCCCAGCAAACTTCCGTAAACACCTCTCAGTGAGAGTAAATCCAGAGAAGGGACAGTTCTCTGCTCACCATATCAGGGACTGCTAAGCAGCTGCAACCAACCCAGGTCCTTGTAGCACTAGGAAGGTAGTTTTAGTGGCCATGAACTCAGAGCAGTCAAAACCAGTTCTCTAGACCACTAGGGATGAGCCCAGAGCCATATCATGAAGTTTGTGTACCCTATGAGGAGTTTGTACTTCATCCCAAAGGCTTTTGAAGGATTTCAGTAAGGACACAGTTTATGTGTTAGGACACTTGGTTGGTGGTTTTGAGAACGGAATGGAATGAACTAAGGCCTGAATGTCTATGCCTGGCCTGTATTAGCCAGGTGACACAGCATAGCCCTTTGCTATCTTGGCACAGATAAACCAAGATAACACAAACAGATTTCAGAGGGGAAAAAAATGAGTTCATTTACCAGGGATGTCCCAAACAGGAGGTACATGGAACCATTAGAGGATCACATTGAGCAATGAAAACATGACTTATAAAAATTTTAAATGTCTGTTTGTGGGAGGAGTTGAGGAAAATAGCACAATGGTTTAGAAATTGTGTTTAAAAGAAAGATTGCAATAACCACACACATTTGGAAAGTCCTACAAAAAAGAAAAATTATATATTACATTTTAACCTTTAAATGTCACCAGAAAGCAATCATTACAGTAAGTAGATTATTCAAGAAATGAATTAAACACCTAAACAATGGTTTCTCAAGAAATAGCCACGACAGTGACCCATTTGGAAGACCATAAGCTGTATATAAAATATCCCAAACTGCATAAGACCTCTGATCACCAAAGCCTTCACCTTGTGAATCACTCTTACTGATTTAAGTTCTGCAAATTTTCACATAAAGCAGTCCTTTCCAATGAATAGTATGGGCTTGAAAATAAAGGAACACACTTTTGAAAATATTTTCTTGTGATTCATTCCTTTCCATAAACTACAACTACTTTATCTCAATCGTTGAGATGATGAAATATGCAAATTGTCAAAGACTCAGAAGGTCTTAGCCATAGTTAAGACAAGTTAAGATGCTACTTGTGTGACACTAAAATGTAATCAATGGATTCAGTGAGCGTAGCACTAAGAAAAATTTCAAAAGGTAAAATACAGATTTTTAGATTTCCATATCATTCTAGCTTCATGGAGGCTGTTGAAATGAAAAACTTCCGTCTATATTTCAATAAAAATATTCAGTTTTCAGTTACTTACTAGGTCAAGTATTCTAGTAATCTTATATTTCTCCATAACTTGTTTATCAGGGGAAGTATTAACAATATTAAGTATAGGGATACCCAAATGAAAATTATGCCCTCAATCCATCAGGAGTTTTATTGAGTCTAGTTCCATTTTCATGCCAACATTAAAAAAAAAAAAAAAATTCTGTGACCTGCCTTGCATCTGCTGTTTTAAAATAACTTCACAATAATGTACGATTTCTATTCTTATTTTGTTGAAACCACTGGCATTTTCCCAACCCGTAAACAAAAACAGCATTCTAGAAACCACGAGACATCAAGTATGCAATTTCCTTCCCTAATACTTGGTCTAAAAGAAAGACTACACTTGCACATTTACTGTAACCATTGTACATGCCTTCATATTCTACCACCATCTAGTTAAATTCATTTTTAATGAGTCACATCATGAAGCACTATATATTTTTGTTGCTAAATTTATTAACATATACTTATGGGAATATAGTTATACAGTTCTCCTTGTGGTGTTTGTGCCTGGACTAATTTTTGCTAATTTTCTTTTGTTTTTCCAAAGAATATTTTTGTCTCTAAACCACAAGAATTACCTTTGATGTGGTTATCAAGAAAGAATTCAAGCATTTTTGTATTCTTAGGAATTTATGCTTAATATGTATTATCCATACACTTGGTTCAGTCCCACACATCAGCAATGGAGGGCAACAGGTATAACGAATGTAGCATGGCAATAGGTTAGCACTTAGATTCAGGATCTGTGGTGTATAACAATGAAGCAAATGGATCCATTTTTCCAGCGAGGATAAGAACACAGTAATGAAGGCAACAAGAGACAACAGAAATAAATATAAGCTTTAATTTAGTTTGAATCAGAGTTTTATGGAAAGTTATTTAACCTCTCAAAATATCTTTCTTCTGATGTTAAGAGGATTAAGTAAAATAAGCTTGAAAAGTGCTTATTCCTTGGACACATTAAAAAATTAACATTAAATAAAAGCTATAAGCTAATAATTTTATTATACATATCCATGAGTATTTTATATGTAAAGCTATATGTATTCATACCATGTGATGCATGTGTATATACATATAAAACAAGCTGTACTGGCACTCACAAAAGTCTACAGTGGAGCAGAATTATGTGAAGACCTGAGTTAGATAAAGTATAGAAAGACCTTATTTTCCTATTAAGGTCAGTGATATACATGCATCATTGCTAAATAGGAAATTGGAAATTTGTTCAATGTCAAGAAAAGCCATTTAGCCACTGATGATTCACATTTTTCCTGAGCAGTCTGGCAGGAAACTGGTATATCAGTTGTTGGCAAATTTGAATGGTATTAAATTGAACAGGTAAAAAATAGGCTTGTGAATTAACCAAATTAAATTTGCAATACGTATTTCCGAATAGCATAGACCAAGGAATGCTGATGTAATTTACAGAAAGTACAAGGATTCATAGCATAATCATCCTTTCCAAAATCAAACCTCTAGGGCATTTCAGAACCCTTCACCCGCTCAGACAACAGTGTGTGGCTATGCGCTGCATGGCCTTTGAGCCTCATACCAGTCTCCTCATACCAGTCATTGGTCCTCATTCTGTCAGAAAAATGATAAGGTAAGGCAGAATTCCATGTAGATAGGTCTAGTAAACTATGTATGTTTCTGCTCACTTATTTTATAAATATTATTCCATTTCCAGTTCCACATTCACTGCCATCTTGATTCTGAGTCAGATCTCCACTTTGATTTCCAGTTTTTGATTATGTCCTACATCTCTTATGTCTTGACTTTCTCTGATTCACTTTTTTCCTGGCTTCACTGGGTG